AATATAGTACCAGAAGCATTGGAATCAGTTTCTTTAAGACAAATTCGAGGTTATGCACAAAAGTCATTTCGATATATAGATGCATATAGAAAAGGGCTTAATGTAAAACAAGTAGAATATGCTGTTAAAAAGTACAAACGACATCGCATAATTCCTCAGACCATTTTTAATGAATTATAAATAAATAAATAAAATATTCGATTATGTAAATCATGTGAATCATATATAAATCACGTAATTATTATAAATATTTTGAAATTTGGCACTTCTGATATTATGTTTAATAAATTTGGCACCTTTTTTTTAAAAATTTACCGTGACTAGGTGGTCTGAGCCAATACAATCATGTTAGTATTTTATCGATCATCTTGAGAGTGAAGTCATGTGAGATGTATCCCATGACGATCACGTTGCCGCAGGAAGAAAGTTTTTCACATTTACAAAAACTAGGTTCAGATCTTCACAACACGTTTGATTTTTTCACACCTTCGCTACAAAGCCTTTTTCATAAAAAAAAGCATCAATATTGTATTGGAGTAAAATGAATCATCAAACCTTTTCTTTAGCCCTAAGTTTAACAAGAAACTAATCTACCAGTCACCAGCAAATATGTATTAGGATTTCACAAACACTTATGTATATAGTATTATGGTATGGTTAAGATAGAAAGTGGAAATCCCAACTGTGCTGAAGTTTATCGTGAAGCTGCATAAAAATGGAACAAGATTAAATATAAGAAAGAAACAGAAATTGATGTTATTATTAAAAATTATCTTGATACGCCATTTAATCTATATGATATATAAACTTTGAGACCAAGGTGTCCTGTGTCTAAAGAAAATCCCATCCCAGCTTCTTCTATTATTCGTTCAGTTGATCTTGCATCAGAAATCCTCATCAATGCATCGGCTCAAAAAAAGGCAGCAAATGAAATAGCAACAGCAGAGAAGAAACTTACCGAATTTGAACAAATCTATAATATTACAACTGATTCTCAATTTCAGCATGAAACGTACTTAAAGATAGAAAGTCTCCAAGCTGAAATCAAATCTAACAGAGAGAGAATTAATAAGTTACAAAAGAATGCAAGTTATGCTTGAAAATGCAAAAAAAAAAAGAAAAATACTTATCGAAAATCAAGAAGTAATACAGTATGACAAACCCGGTCGTCTTTTACTTCTATTCAAGCATCCGAGTTTACATGATCATATCCATGATTCGATCGAGTTTGGGACAGCTGATGAAAAAGGAGAAAAAAAGTAGTTAAGTCCAGATAATTGAAAATTTACGTAAGAATCTTGAAGAAAATTATGATGTTTACATGGCGAGAACAACACTAAACAATTACTTGCTACCTCGACAAGCCAACTCAATTGCTACAAAGGTGCATTATCATCCAACGTGGGTTGCAGTATCCAGAGTTTTACACACAAAAATATGAGATCATCCCGACGAACAATATTGCCTTGCATCTGTTAAATGTGCAAAGAAATTTGCTTCACTATTTGCTGATGCGAGTGTTATTATTTCTCAAGATGATAAAGCAAAGTTTGGCCTAGGTGTACCTGCAGTAGGACGGATATTTCGTACGCTACAATTGGTAAATGAACCTATGAGTGTAGCGGATCATGATTTTTCGCGAGATTTGGACAAAAGTTAATTCTATCAGTTTATCTTATGATAAAACTAAATGAAAAAAATGATGATCTACGAACAGGACAGCTTACTATCTTTATACGTCGCCAGTGGTCTCTTGGTACGTCCTCACTTACGCATATAGAGGATCTAGAATGCCTCACTCAAGAATCCTAATATGATGATATGCTGAAGTTTAATGAAGAAATCTGACTGATCTGGGTGCTATTAGTCGACGGTGGACCGGATGAAAACCCAAGGCATTTAAAAAACATAAAAGTTTATTGTCAGCTCTTTAAAAAATTCAACCTGGATTACCTGAGCATACGAACGTATGCCACAGGACAATCCAAGTACAATCCTGTAGAGAGAGGAATGGCAACGCTATCCGATAAGTTGGCAGGTGTTACGTTGCTAATAAATCACTCTGAAGTGCACTTAAACACTCAAGGCAAAGTGATAAATCTGGAATTGGCTCTTCAAAATTTCAAATATGCTAGAGAAGAGCTTTGTAATATTTGGAATTGCGATTTGATCTTTGGAAAGCGTGTAAATGCTAAATATGTTGAAGGGTTCAAAAATCCATTTGAAAATCTGCAATTTGAGAGTACAGATAAAGAAAAAGCGGAGGAACTGAAAAAACAAGAAAAACAAAAGAAACAAGAGAAGGGAGAAACAACCGACTTAGAATGTTTTGTACCATGATCATGGATTGAAAATCATTGCAATTTGTGCTAGTACTCTTTCGATATCAAATAATGCACAAATATAAGCTGCTGTGGGCCACCTCGTGCAAAAGAAGCCATGAAATTCTTTCGAGTAAATGATGGTTTTTTGCCTCCTATCACAAAAGCAAGGGATAGACATTATACAAATCCAGTACACCTTTTCGAGTATTATGATCGTTTAAAATTACTGGGTATGATTTGTATTGTCCATCATTTGACAGAACAACTTATTCACGTCTTTGCAGCTCTGAATGTAACAAGTACTTTTCAACTCTCACCTTTTTGACAAATCACAAGCGAACAAAGCATTCTCGTGGACGATCTAAAGGAAAATATAAAAGTCAAATTGAGCAAAGTTCTTTGACTATTGATGATTTTCACTTCTTCCTTCACAACAAGGAGAGAAAATTCTTCTATTAAACGAAAGAGCTTTAAGAGAATATGTTTCAGATGGGAATAAATGTCTTTTATATATATGTGTACGTATATTCTAAATGTATGTATTCTAAATGTATGTGTTCCAAATGTATGCCTAATAAATTTGCGTCTAATAAATTAGCTAAGCACAGTTATCGATCACGTGATCTATTTAATATGTGTAACCTAAGACTTTTGCCTACCCCCCCCCCACCCCCTAAAAAATTACCTAATAAATGTCATTGCCCTTAGTAGAAGCTCATATAATAATAAATTATTCATCTCGTTAATTATTTAAACAAGTGCTCCGTAAAGGTCGAGTCGGATCGGGTTTGAAGCAAATTCGAACTCAAACCCGTTAATTTTTACAGAACTCGAATTTGATTCGAATTTTAATAATATTTATTATATTCAGACAATGGTCACAAGCTTTATAGTAATTTTTTGTAGTTTAACCAAAGATTTGTTACATTTGAATCATTAATCTTGCGGAGCCATTTTTTGACCTCTAAAATTTTTAAAAAAGATATATAAAATAAATAATGCTTTTTTAAAAAATTATTATAAAAAAATAAATGTCCAGAAAATGTCATCGAAAATGTCCGGAAAATGTACAAATTCCGGACATAAAAAAATTCTGGACATTTTCTATACAAAATTTCGGATATAAAAAAAATTGAAATTTTGAACCGGACAAATTCTGGATATATCAAAATTCTGGATACAATATTTCTAAAAATGGATAAATTAAAAAATCAAAAAATGTAAAAAGCACAAAATAGACATTTTAACCCTTATTCTTGTAATAAGTAAACTTGCAGAGCAGGCAGATATAATATTAAATTAAAATTATAAAATACTATACACTCACCAATTGGTAATAAGTTTCAGATAAATATCAAATTTCTAAACAAAATCTGAACAATGGCAAATGTTCCGGGCATAGTGAACTGTCCGGAATTTGTCTTAACTATTTTCCGGACATTTTGTTAACAAATTCCGGACATCATTTTTTCATTCAAAATTCATCAAAACTGTAGAGGTTCGGAGCACTAGAGTTATAACTATATGGGAGCGTTTCCAGTAAAATCACATTACGGATCATATGATTTACTATGCCTCATGACTTGATTTTACTGGAAACGTTCCCATATAGTTAAAAAATTATTAAACAAATTATTTTTTTTATTAAAAGTAAAAGATAAATTTTTTTTGGTTTAATTCTAAATTTCAAGAATATAAAATAACGCCGAAATTTTTTTTTTTTTTTTATTTGACGTATAGTCTAAAATTTTTTATTGATCATTATGGCTTGATTTTGCAGATCTAAAATTCAGACCATCACTAAGCAAATAACATGAATTCATTATTTACGAAAGGATCAAGATCAACGCAGCAAAAGCATCATATGTATTTCTTAAAAAATCGGTGATGTTGATATAATTGAACATTATTTTCTTATTGTATCGTATGTACTATTTTATGTATACTCAAGTCGAGATGTTGATCACATCAATTATACAATTATATCGATAAATTAGGTAAATCAGCCAATCTTCAGCTATATCGGGATCTTAAATTTCAGGGGTCAAAAGAGAGTATTAGGATATGATCTTCATTCTAAATTTCATGGTCGCTTAAAAAATGGAGAAAAAGTGGATCTAGATAAAGAAAACTTAGATCCCGAAGACAGAGAAAAAGTTGAAAAAGTTCAAGTCCCTATGAAAAAAAGTGTATACAAACATTGAAAATATCCGGTTTCAGTCAGTTATTTGACTCGGTAAAACGTTAACTGTCGATCCCAATTATTCATTATAAAAGCCCTTTCTAGCGAACTCAAAAAGAATTTCGGTTAATTAATTACAAAATAAATTAATTATACGTTTCAAAATGGAACCTAATAATCCTTCACAAAACAACAATTATAATGGTCCGTTTATTAACACCCAAGAGAGCTTTACTACTTCAAACAATAATTACGTCTACCAAAATAGACAGATAAATAATAACAATATCCTTCCATCTTACGGAGATGCTAATCGTCAACATATAGGCGGCTCTAATGCTTCAATTCAATTTCACCCTTCGTCATATGCCCCACATACTGGTCAGGCTAATGCTAACCCACCGCCAACTGCTAATATCCCTTTTCTCAACATGGTTGCTAATCCTCTCCAATCAAATTACGACATCCTAAGTTTTGACATCCCTGGCTTTAAGATTATTATTATACCTGTAGACAATTCTTCTTCAAATATTGTTTCTAATAATAATTCGCAAACTCAATTTCATAATCCGTTTAATAATCATAATAATTTTAGTGGTTAACTGTTAAAGTTCATATTCTATTTCATGTTATTTTTTCATATAGGTTGATTTTTTATATTGTATTATATATTTTTATAATGAAATACTACCTATCTCCCTAATTAAAAAAAAATGGTTCTGTTTATTTTTTTTTTGTTTTATGTATAAATATACAAATCGTCTATAGTATTTTCATGTTTTTAAAAATCTAGCCTTTGATAAATAAAATCTTTTTTTATTGATAAATTCCTCGTAATAATTTTTAACTAGTATTTAATATTTTTTGTAAAAAAAAAAATAGAAAAGGTATGAAATAACTAGTCCTCCGTAAGGGTCGGGATTGAAGCATATTCAAACTCGAACCCGTTAATATTTACAGGACCCGAATTCTACTCGACCCGATTATTGTTCGATCCGACCCGACTCGAATTTTTAGGTAATATTAATACGAAAGTAAAAAAAAAATTATTTATGCAATCAATTAAAAAAGTGTAATAAATGTGAAAGTTTATTATTTTTAAGTTCTTTTGTTGTACATTAATTCAAATTTAGATTTTTTAAAAATATTATTCGAACACACACGAGAATTTATCGGCTTTAAGTCTAAAATCGTTACAGGAACACTTGTTTTTTATCATTTTATTTGGATGATTGCGCCCTAAATGACGACAAAAATTTGTTGTATTTGAATCACCAATATTGCAGAGCCAACTTTTTGTCCTCTTTAAAAAAAATAATAATGATAACCTGTAATAAACCTATTTAAAATAGTTACGAGCAGTTAAGACATCTAACTTCTCGAGGTGTTTTGAATTTTATATTCAGGTGGAAGAAGTTTCTCTTCAAAAAGTTCTTAGGCAAAAATTTCGCTTCGCAATGAATTTCGTTTTCCAAGAGAAGCTGTATTATCGGAATTAATAAGGTAGATAGTTTCACTCATTATTTAAATTGTTACAGATTAAAGTCGCGCATATCATATATCATTTAATAGCATTACCTGATCATTCGTGCCGGGTCAAGCAAAATCGTGACCTAACCCGATGAGGTTTAAAGAAATTAGGACTAGTGACATAAAATGATAGTCTCGACTCGAAATTTTTTCTCGATCTCTTTCCGCAATCATTTTTGTTGAATAATTTTTTTTATTTATATTCTTATATATACCTTTAATGTTGGAAATAAACCACAATGAAAATTGATTTAAAATATGATTATATATATAAAAAAAGAATATCATATTCTCGTAAGTTATCGATAAAACGAGTACTCTAATAAATTATAGTTTGTTCAAATAAGAAAATAATGTCTTAGTTTTGAATTTCTGATTTTCCTATGAAAAAAAAATGTAATAAATATTTATAAAACCGGAATCAATCTTATTATTGTATGTTATACCATAATAAGAGTGGGTATTACTATTTATTTTTAACAAGCTGTTCCGAGCAATGGAATTAGATCCGTAATGCATAACCATTTAAAAAGTGCATACATTTAAGTAATACAACTTATCACATAATTTTTGTAACGTATCACAATCCGACAAATTTGATTCAATAAACTAATGAATACTAAACGAATCCAAAGTATTCGATCTCATGACCCAAATATATCAAGATTGTCTCTTTGGTAAAGAAGTATTCTACGCCAAGAATGTAGGCATCCGATCAAAAGATCACGTACTATCTCTAGTTAAGTCTGAGAAAAAGGCTCTCGGTCCCTTAAATACTAAGCGTTGGTACCTAACAGATGGGGTATCTGAATTACCTTATGGGCATTGGTAATAAAAACTTATATTAACAATAAAATTATTTAGACATTAACATTTAAGCTTAGTAAACTAGGGAACGGGATCCGTTTAAAGTCCGTATAAATTATAATATCATATTTAATATGATTGATTATTTTGTAACACAAAAGACATAACGTAAACAAAATGTCATTGGCTTGCCGAATTTGGACGGACTGCATTTAAATGACCTAGAAGTAAAATGTCCTCCGCTAAGCTTCGGACAATTAGTATAGACTGTGTACTAACTTTTCTAATGTGACATGAGAAGTTGCTATAGCCATGTGGCGTATAATTATTGAAATCAAGAACTGAGCGGCCAAAGTTAATAATTTGAACGACAATATACATCTAATGCTAAATTCTGTAAAGCTAAAAAGTTTCAAATGGATTATCAAAAATTTTAAAATTTGCCAAGTTAGAAGTTTGTACAAGCAAACATTAATTCTGAAAATATATTAATTATAAATATCACAGGATAATGGTGCATTTTGGTATTTTAAGTCATGTGAATTTAAATTATCAAAATGATAAACTTTAATACATAAAAATATTACTTAAGTTTTATTTTATGAAAGTTGATATGGAATGAATGTACGACGGATCTTATGTAAAATCAGAATGAAATGTCATAAACCCTTACCAATATAACATATTTTTGAAAGTTTTCACGAATCGAACGTATGATTTAAAATTTTTTATCAGAAAAACAATATAATTTATATAAGCCAAATTTTTTACCTTTGTAGTAAAAAATTTTTGGATTCCGAGACTATAAATTGATTTTGAGTAATTGATGATCAAAAAAATGTTACGCCACAATAAACATAAAAATATATATTATATTGAGTCGAATCAATTGATAAGGCAATACAATAATTTTATATATATAACATTTATTATAATAATTATTTTTAT